GTAATACTTTGGCTAGATGGTTATGTTTCAACCAATGTCCCCAGGCCTAGATTAGCAAGCCAACCAGGATATAAGTTTTGTTATATAGCCCTTATAGTACATTCAACAAAATAAWMCTTTTCCTTGGCCGAAAGGAATACAATTAGCGTTTTAATTAACAATTAAAATTGTACTCCTTATAAAATTTTGTTTAAATGAAGGTAATAAACAAAAAAAACCGCACAATCTCTCGTGCAATTTGGAACTAATAGTCACTCATTATGTTTTGAAAGTTCTCAAATACTGAAATTACGAAGAACTTTCAAAACATTTACTCGTGTCAATTAGTTCCAAATCGTACTCAAGGTCGTGCGATTTCCTATACTAAGTCATAGGCCGCCCAACTATTACATTAGAGACAGAAAAAAACGAATGCTCACGCAATGTATATGCTATCGGCGCGTGGTCTTAGAAAAATTCGGGTTACCTGTGGTGTTACGTCACGATCCCGCGCCTGGAAAGTACATACTAATCTGTGACACGCGCAGATCATATACATAAAATAAAAGCGTGCGCATTTGTTCTTTTCTGTCTCTAATGCAATAGTTGGGTGGCCTATGTACTAATAGATCATTTTGGTTCATGGGTTTTCGTGTTTGTCAATATATCAAGCAATTTATTATAGTGAATGAATATAGTCACTTTGCACCATAAAGTTATGGAAGCCAATGCACGAGTGCTGTAAATTATCATAGAATCCACTTCTATTGCAACTAATGCTATGTGACAGACGGTGACAATGACGAATTATCAGTACGTTAGCCCTAATCCAGTATTGATTGATCCTGCTTATCTTACGGAAAAACAAGAATTACATACACTAGAGACAAAGATAGCAAGCAAAAACCTTGTTTAACTTTGGTTTAAAACACCAAAATAAAAAAATCTCCATATATCGTGACTAACTTTGTGAAAATACTTGAATTGGCTTAACATTGAAGAATTTTAATGCTTAACCTAGAAAAAGGTTAGGACACCGAAGGACTAGATCCATCTAAACCATAATAACTGGATTTGAGCGATAAGATAAAATAATAAAAACAACATGTTAAAAAAATTATATTTTTTGAAAATATTTTGCTTATAATTTGTAGTATCTTGAAATATGTGCTTGAAAACTCGGCAGTATGAAGTTTTCATTCCGATAAGTGGCCAACCGCGTGTCTAGAAAAAAGAAAATTCTTATCCTCCTTCGTGTTAGATATCGAATTGTAAGTATTGAATTTTCCGCCCTGTTTTTACTCTTTTTCACTCCTCACTTCACACCATGGAAGTATGTTTACAATAAACTAGTGTCTTTAAATAGTTGTAAAAAGAATTGACTACAAATTGCTCCTAAAATAACGCGCCTGACAACTGTACCATGTCTTGTGTGTTTATAATCTTTCAGCACTTTAAATCCGACAAAACTAATTGMGATTCTAATTAGAAACAATTGAGAATCGCCTACAGCGACGAATTTTAGTGGAATTTTACTCCACAAAGAATTTAAAAATATCGAAAAAATGGCATCACTTAGGAAGGGATTTTGCGATCTGAGTCGCTGTTGATAAAACAAAGGTTAAATTGTCATCATTYTTSTTCACTTGAGTTTTCTTGTAAGCATTAATCRCGGTAAAACAAACGTTTCTCACTTGTAAATRGCGCTATTATATCTGACCTTGATTRAAGAATTTCAAGGGTTTTTGAAAAGAAGAGTAAATTCTGTGCCATGCAGACGCGCGWCCAATATGGYGGAAAACACTCGAATGGCTTCCCRAAGCTTTCAGCCAATCAGCAACGTAGAAAAGACTCTCTYGTCCAATCAGATCCACTGTATAAACAACTCATCCCATGCGATAACATACTGACTTTCAGAGCGTTTTTGAAATATCTCTCTCTTGCTAAGAATAATTTAAACATTTTTTAAACAAGGGTCAAAATATCTCAACAAGCGAGTAGTTTAGATTGACACTAAGAGCACTTTACTACGACGCAACCTTGGGCAAAGTCAAATTGTCTGGAGAGGAAAACAGAGCGATAATTTGCGGCAATTTTTTCATCATTTAAGAAGGATAAAAACATCACGAATGAAAAGAAATATCAAACTATTATGTCAAGCATTTTGACTCCAGCATAAAATTTCATGAGTAATTTACGCTCGTTTAAATAAACAAAACTCTTAATTTCGCCTGTGTATCGATGTTAAATGAGCCCAAACGAGCAAAACGTTTTATCTCATGACTCCAGGCCGGCATGTGATGGACGCAAACGACCTGAGCTCAGTCGCCATCGAGGCTAATTTGCTGACGGTAATGAAGATGAATTAGAAAGGGGATCTGTTTAACGCCAAGGACAAAGAAATCACCGCTAAGATGCCGCTTAATTAATTTCCCTATCATGTTGATCTCAACTCGATGTACTGCTGATAAACCCGAAAAACGCGCCTCGAATTCTACGCTGATTTGTGCCGATAGTTGTATCAAATTGTCTTCAGGCGTGCGCACGACCCAACGCCTCGCACAAAATAATCAAAGTCCACTTATACTTACAAAGGATTTAGTCATCCTTTCAAAGAAGTCCTCCAAAGTTCTCTAAAGCTTTCAATAAGGGYGATAAATTGCGCGCTCTAAACAAATGTTTGCTTAGCGCATTTGAGTGCCGTTCTAATAGTAGCTCTAATTGACCACGTTTCTACTTTGTAAACAGCAATTGATACTTTGTGGGTGGTGCCATGATTGGCAGCCCCACGATTTGTGAAAAGAGATTACACCGGGTTTTATAATAATAGCCAGATAAATATTAGACACTCATCAAAGGTACTTGGCCACCAATCAATCAAAATGATAATGTACAAAACATAGACTCCTGACTCCCATAGGTGCACGAGCTGAAGGAAGGCGGACACACGACGACCCAGAGGTGCAAATATCATTCCCTAACTATACTTGAAGCTGTAATGTCTTTGAAACAGAAACCGCAGGGAATGGACAAAGAAGAGCGTATGAAACCACCGCATTCCTAYATTGCGTTGATAGCTACAGCTATCCTAAACTCACCAGAAAAGAGGCTTACTTTGACAGAAATAAACGAGTACCTCGTCAAGCACTACGTGTTTTTCAGAGGCTCTTATCAAGGATGGAAAAATTCTGTGCGCCATAATTTATCCTTCAACAAGTGTTTTGTGAAGATACTGCGAGATCCCGCGAGGCCGTGGGGAAAGGACAATTACTGGACAGTCAGCTCACTCAACGATTACCTTCTCTCTGATGGCAGCTTTAGAAGACGAAGACGACGAAAGCCAAAGAAAAGAGAGAGTGAAATTACAACAAGACGCGAAAGATTGCTGTTGGCTGACCATACAAGAGAATACCATAATGCAAGATTTGAAGAACCCCACCACAGTCCCCTAGTGCTTCCTCAATTGACTTCCAATGAGCATAGAATACCTGCAACAAACTCTAGCCAGCAAGCTACCACTTCACCAAAATTCCGTGGATCTTTCTCCATTGAAAGCATCCTRTCTGATGAMAACCTCGACGAAAGAACGAACTCTACAATCCMTCCACCAAGGCATGACCCACCGCCTCAAACTATCCAAACGTATCCCTGCATAAGCTTAGGTAAGTGTACCATGTGGGCTTCTGAATTTCATGAGTTATTGAAATAAAGAGCTCAACTAACCAGACTTAAAATAAACAGTTTTCAAAGTCTGTTTTGAACACAAACTAGTTGTTATGTTAAGCTAAGGAGTGTTTTCTCTGAGGTTAAAATAATTGGAAAGAAACACCGTTGGAAGTTAGCTGCTATTGTAAACAGTCCTAACGTGCGTTAAGTTGTTTTAAGCTAATTACCCTCTAAGTAACACAAATTACAGCGGAACTTAGCGACATCTCTCCCAACCATCAAGTCCTATAAGCTTTTCCTGTATATATTAGGGGTTTAGGCAACACCTTTTTCGCGGATTTGGATTTCCTCTSATATGAAGCGTATGGTTTGGAACAATGGTTTTCTACTTGACCCTAATAATCTATCAGAAATGAATGTGCATGAAAKGAGTACTTCGAAAMTAAGGATAGTYRCCAMAGCTTAGTAAGATTTTACTTTCCAATGACAGAGAAGCGATCCTCTGATTCCAGGCCACTTAAGCCAYTTTGAACAGCGGAACTTTTAATATCAAATAATGCAGCAACTTGCGCGCGACATTGTCAGTTAGGTAAATTTACATTGTTCATAACTATATTGTGCAATCAAAGTCGATCTGTAAGCAAGTCTTCTGTCTTTGTTGGCAAAAGTGGTATACAGTGCAAATTGGGGTTGAATGAAGGTTAAATAGATGTCAAATACATTACGATTTACAACCTATAGTAACCGAGAAGCTAACAAGCACTTTCTTAGATGTRAAACATAACCTCTACCAGATAGCGCAGAAGTATTTGATTTCTAAGCAKTAGTTTTACTATGAACTGCGCTAAAGCTGGAGTGTGCTGTACTGAGGACTGCGCAATGCTTCTAAGAACTATCAAGCAGGCATTCAATTCACAAATGSCATTGCTGAAAGGTTACTCAAAATCGCTCTCTTCAAATCARACTTACAGTTTCTTAGAGTAAACAACAGATCATTCATTACAATTTACGTCACTTCAAAATAAATTCATAAGTTAACAAGAAAAAAAAAGGTAAAACTAAGATTAAACGCAAGAGTAAATTGATTTGTTGATGGTGAAGTTTTAATGAGAATGATATCTTGGTGTGATGGATCCAGGGGAGCGCATCCCGGGTAGCAATTTGTAAACACGAGATCGATAAATCATCTTCACGAGTCGTGTTAACACTCGAGCAAACTCCTTGAAAAGAACTTTACAATAAGCCAAGTTAATCTAGTTTTCTAACGTCTGAATATGTTTTATCAGAATCGTTCATATACACTTTAAGTGAAGGAGCGTGCCTACAATATGCTTTGTAAAAATCCATTTTACGGATACCAAAAAGCCCCCAAAAATTACTGAATCCTTCCATAATTCGTGTATTAAAAACCTGAAGTCAATGTGCGCAAATCTTTTGGCAGCTTTTTAGATTTAAGGATTTTAAGCCAGTTCAAGAAGCAACAGAATTAAACATTGACTTAACTCAATCAACGTGGACTGGTAATCAGTTTATTACAAAGCCGCACTTGTTCATTGAAATGCGCTGGTAAGTGCAAGCGTTTAACTTRTCCTTGTCTTTTACATTTGCCACCGTACAGGAGTCCTGCCAAAGRCGCCGRCAGTAAGCTGTCCTCATTCTMCGCCACGTCCCACAGCTCATCCAAGCAGTCACATACCTTACCAAAGAGTTTTGCCGCCAGGTTTATTGAATCACACCTGCGAGTTATGGCATACATGTCCACATTGTGTGCCCCACTTTTGTCATAGATGCTACTAAAGGTCTGCTGTAAAAATAACTGTCGAGAAGTGACGAGAAATCCATGGCGCAACATTGGTCTTCGGCTGTGCCACGATGGTGGGACTTAAATGGAGCTTCCTTCTCAGAAAATACAGTTAAACCGTCATTTCTATGGATATTTGTCAATAGAAAATGAGCAATCTTTTCATTGAAGGTATTTAGACAATGAAAAGGTCGAACGGAAACACAGAACTTCAACAACATGGCAGAAGACATTGTGAACAACAMTCAATTGAACACGAAAGAAAGTGTTTTTGTACAGTGTTTGTACATTTTCTTACAGAAACKTATTGGAAAAAATCAAGCAAGTAGTTCTTAAAGTTAAAATAAAGTTTATTTTACCTTTCRATGAAGAAAATTAACATATGGTGGAAAGGGCTTGACACGCAATGGCCRCATCWTTGCTGCTCGAGTGTTCAATGAAACGCCTTCTGTTGTCATCTCTCGKATTTTCGCACAATACCTCAATTTTTAAACCAAAATACCATTGATTTYTGTTTCCTTATAACGTTTCAWGAACCACWGATGAAACTTCTTTAAAATAAACACTTTTCTGTAAGGGTTTTGCAATCTGCCAAGCTCTTTCAGCAGTTTATATAACCTTTGAAATTCAATCGGTTATTTCAAGAATGTCTCGAAGTTTATTAAATTTGGAATGATTAATGACTATTAGATTCCCGTACTAGAGCACAGGAAACATTTAAGCACAGGAATGAAGAGTTTCATACGCGAAATAACGCTAGAAAAATGCTATAATCTTTACACAAGAAGTAGATTTGCTTGGAAAAGGACGAAGAAACACTCCCGAAAAGCAGTCACAGCGTCAAGAAGACGTTTCTCAACCAACAAGAAGTTGAAGGCGTTTGCGGCGATTTGTTAGCAGTACAGGAAAAGGAACTTCAAATTTTGGGTAAGAAACTGTTCAGAGGTATAAATGGTTTTGCTCGAAGCGAGAATTGAGTGAGAAGTCTTCCGATCGGTAAAAGTGTGAAGTAACTGTGAAAACTCAAACATTGATGAATATATAGTTTTCAGTCGCCTTCGTTGTGGACAATTAAATAACTGCCATTACCATTATATTAATTCGTTATTAAAGCGCCAAACTTTGATCATCCACAACTTAAAGTACGAAGATTACATCAGTTGTAATTTCTGAGCTTTTCAATGGAAATTTCTATTTGTCTGCAACATATGGAAAGACGGTGCCTTGAACTACAAAAACTCGTCAACATGGCGCGGCATGAGACTTTCCCAAGCAAACCATTGTAAAAAAATCCTAATTCTTATTGGATGAAGTTATCAATTAAGGAACAAAGTTGTAAGGAATATCAACTCTTTTATAACAATTATTGTATTAGGAATATTGAATAGTTTCGAGGCTTTTCGACCGCAAAGAGACGGATGATACTTCATTTCGTCTTTCCGGCGGACTCGCTTGGGAACAATAAAACTATATAAACGTTTGAAAATCGATCCTTAACTTCGCCTAATAACTATACATTTCTCAAACGTCATAAGTAGAAAAACGTTTTAGGTTTTAAACAGCAAGGCACGCAATGGAAACACTTTAAAATGTAGGCAAACAGACTTAAATCCGTAGTGGAAATGAATCGTAGTTCTGTCGCCATGTTGATTATGAAAGCTTCGTTAAGCTTAACATTCATTCTCAAAACATAAATCTTTCTATGCAGAACGAAGTAGAAATCATCATGCAGCTTTGTAAGCCGTACACATGTTTAATAATTCAAGAAAATATTATTATAAATAACGAATAAAACGAAGAAACCAATGTTTGAAAGTGTGTTTATTTTTTGTTCACATCTCTTAATTTGTACAATTCTACGCAATGGCACAAACCCTACCGCAAGCATTGTCAATTTACGTTTACGAGTAAGAATTTGCGTTYCAGGCAAATCATTTTTAGAAGSATATTGCTTAGATAAGCCTTAAAACAACTTTAATTTTCTGTTGTCTGTCGAAATACAACTGAGCGACGGAATTCGTACCTTTCATRCTGCATAATGTTAGCTTTGTAAGACGTTTCTTCGCAGCCTTTCCTGGCTTCTCCGGCGCTGCAAGTTGTTTCTAAACTTCTAGCTTTTAAATTCGAAATGATTTGTTACAATTTCCTTACTCTAAAGAGAAAATACCCTTTGAAACACTCCCAAACCTTTGTGGGCGCTCACAAATGTCTCTTGAGTCTGGGAAGGTGCTCTGGTGAAAGTAACATCCCTTTGACAAGTTAGACAGAATGATAAATGAGGTTCTAAAATAAAACTACAGAAGGAAGAAGGAATCGAGCTGATAAAGTTATCCTGATGACATTGAGTGAAATCACAAGTGCCAAAGCAAATAGAAGTGAAAAATCTGCTTAAAAATAATAATATTTACGGTCAAAGCAGAGATAAAGCTCTAAAGAAATTGTTTATTTTTAAACGGAGGAATTTCCTTGGGGGAAACTAAAAAAATACGTTTAGATCGTAGGATCTTCTAATTAATAAATTGAACTTCTAATGYAATAATTTTGTACAAGCAATCATGTAATCAGTTTTTTATACTTTTTATATAATTTCTACATGGCTTTGTTTGTGAGGTGACTTTCCCTATCTTGTACAGATTGACGTCCATGGAACTATAATTCTGAAGCCCAGTTCGTACCAAAAACTCGTTAAACTTGTTCATAAACTGGCTTTCATTCCTCACTGCTCACAATGTTCTGACGATGATCGCAGACATAGTGACYATAGTTGTATAGTTTGCAAAGCAAGATGCAAGCAAATTCCTGGATTTATACGCCTTTATGTAAAGTTTTCGTGTCCAAGTATTTCTAAGACGCGCGCAGATTGTAAAAACGRGAGAAAGGCACAGCTTGTGKAAATCCGGCAGCTTGGAGTGAGCTGTAAGTTGTCCTACAATAGGCTCGGCTCATTCGSGCGTTGTACTATCGTTTCGCCAAACCAACTTCTTTAAATTKAACCAACACATTGAACTCGACGTATGMATCACGGCAAAGCAACTCTTGTGGATATGTTTCATTAAATTGTTTATTTGGTTATTTGTTTTCAACCCAAATAAACTATTTGAATCGGCACGRCGATACAACGTTTGATGGACCTCCCTTATTCAGCAGAAATGCGTACGTTTTGTGGTCATACACAAAAAACTGCCAGCCTGATGCCAAATTGTTAGCATAAAAAACATAATTCACTTGTGCTGTGTGTTCRGTTTTAAACAGAAACTTTGATAGCGAAAATAACCGTAAGCAGAATATCTATATCTGGAATAAATCATTGTAAAATTGAAACAAATWGCTGGTTTTCAAAATGTCTACTTGTAAACGAGCGTTTCCAAAATCTTGCATTCGTGATTTTTTTGCTGGACGAATGTGTTAAGTGCCTGTTAGAGGATTAAAACTGAAGACGTGAGCTTAGTCCGAATAGATAACAACCATAATAAGAAAGCAAACCAATCACCACAGATTAGCATTCTAAATCCCCCAGTACAGCCCAGCAAAAACGATGTGTTTCCACATTGGTATTTGAATCAATAAAAGCAAAGAAATCCACAGTTTTATCGCTCAAATTAACTCCTATTTTAACTTAGGATCTGCAAACGCTTGTTTACATCACGTTTAGTGGACTTTAACAACATATGTTTGACAGTAGGAGCCAGAGTCATGATATATTATCTCACATACTTCCCTTGGTAGTTTGTCCAAGGCTCCAGTTTGTCTGGTAAACTTTTCGTATCCTAAAGATGGCTAAATATCAGCAAATACCAGTGTTTTAGGGCAAATAAAGGTCATGTCAAAGCGTTTAGCACTTGGGGCAATGTGTTATGAGTATTTATAAACGTGCCGTTTGAATATGGAATTGGATAACAAAGCGGGATTCCTGTGSAGGATAWAATGTTGTCGATACAGGTAGCCCAGATATTTTAGTGTTAGTTCTGTATGGTTTGATTTTTTGAAYGTTTTGTTGCTCATTTCTGCTGAGTCGGTGCATGCGYGCAACCACTCCTCAACCCTAAATTGCGTTGTTCACCTATTCAGTCATTCTTTTGAGAATAAATATGGATTCCCAAATGTCCATAACCAGAAGTCTCCATCTCGTTAAAGGCTACTCGGACGAAAATTTCGAAACATTAGAAAAGACTTGGAAATCAGATAGACCTATCCATATGGGCGTAATAATCATGAAGCAACAGATTTCAAGAAAATATTGATGCAAATCCTTAATAATTTGGGCAAAAAATGTTGGAGTAGATGACGTCATTTACTCAATCCTTTTGTTCTTCCATCTTTTGAATCAAAATTTCTCTGATGTGGGATAATTCCAAGACAAATATTTTCCCGCAATTGTTTTTAATAGATATAATTGAGTCATATATTTGTATTGCTTGAAGTTTTGAAATAAGGCCATTTTCATGCAAGTAGCACTTTAATAATCACGTGCCGTTTTATGCGAGTTCTGTGATTGGTTGTCTAAAATAGATTATCTGCACGTGTGATCTCTTCGACGCCATTATACTGCAGTTTATGAAATTCCACATTYATTCCGTCATTCTTTCAGCCAGCATGTCAGTCAGTCAGTATCGCCCCATGTAAGAGAATCCAGAGAACTAGAGATTAGAGATTCCGGATTCCAAGCGCTGGATTCCGGATTCCGAAACATTGGATTCCAGATTTCAAGCCTTGGGATTCCGGATTCCAAAGAATTTTTGTTTTGGATTCTGTACAATAAACGGGCCTGATTTTCAAGGTTTTTTTCCTGAAAAATATATATTCAGCGTGTCAGTAGCCTGCGCAGAGGCGTCAGCGGGACGATGTCCTATGTGTTTTTTAGATATCAAAAGTTTTGCTGGATTCCAGATTTTGGATTATAAATATTTGGATTACGGATTCCAGGATAGGGATTCCGGATTCCAAAGCTGTTTTTTTAGTGGATTTCAGATTCCGGATTCTCTTGACACGGGGCGAGTCAGTAACTAAGCGAGCCAGTCGGTCAGTGATTAAATCGGCCATTGTTGTGACTATTACTAATTGTTTTTAGAGACGTTTTAATTAGAGCTTACAAGTTAAAAAAAAAACATAAAAAGGACTCATAAAAACTAACATATTGCTCACACCATCCAGACACATTTACTAAGCGTTCACACTAGGTCATTTTAAGGCTGG